TAGCCTGGGATCTTCCTATTGGTGACCTAATCAAAATGGCCGACTTGGATGTGGGCGGAGTCGGATATGTACTTGATTAAGGGTAGCATGTTATTATTAGCCATTAGCCGCAGCTAGCAAGGCTAACGTCTTGCTAATGATCATAAACAACGTAAATAAATACATAAATAAATCAGAGAGAAGGGGTTAGTATCGATACTTTTGAAAATGAGTATCGTATCCGGATAGAACATTTTAGTATCAATACTTTTTCGAGTATCCATACTTTTGACAACCCTAATATCTATATTGCCATGAGGCAATTAGGATTTTCTTGCCTGGAATCTTCCTATTGTTAATGTAACTATAACGGCCGACTTCGATGTGGGCGGAGTCGGATATGTACTTGATTAATGGTAGCATGTTGTTATTAGCCATTAGCCGCAGCTAGCAGTTCAAGGCTAACAACTTGTTAATGACCATAAACAACGTAAATAAATACATAAATAAATCAGAGAGAAGGGGCGGTGGTATCGATACTTTTGAAAATGAGAATCGTATCCGGATACAACATTTTAGTATCGATACTTTTTCGAGTATCCATACTTTTGACAACCCTAATATCTATATTGCCATGAGGCAATTAGGATTTTCTTGCCTGGAATCTTCCTATTGTTAATGTGACTATAATGGCCGACTTCGATGTGGGCGGAGTCGGATATGTACTTGATTAATGGTAGCGTGTTATTAGCCGTTAGCTGAAGCTAGCAGTTCAAGGCTAACAACTTGTTAATGACCATAAACAACGTAAATAAACACATAAATAAATCAGAGAGAAGGGGGTGGTATCGATACTTTAGAAAATGAGTATCGTATCCGGATACAACATTTTAGTATCCATACTTTTTCGAGTATCGATACTTTTGACAACCCTAATCTCTATATTGCCATGAGGCAATTAGGATTTTCTTGCCTGGAATCTTCCTATTGTTAATGTGACTATAATGGCCGACTTTGATGTGGGCGGAGTTGGATATGTACTTGATTAATGGTAGCATGTTGTTATTAGCCATTAGCCGAAGCTAGCAGTTCAAGGCTAACGTCTTGTTAATGATCATAAACAACGTAAATAAATACATAAATAAATCAGAGAGAAGGGGGGTGGTATCCATACTTTTGAAAATGAGTATCGTATCCGGATACAACATTTTAGTATCGATACTTTTTCGAGTATCCATACTTTTGACAACCCTAATATCCACTAATTTCTTTGTTTTGTTTTTTGTCCACCAGGGATCCTGGGCTCCCCGTCTCAGGAGGATCTGAACTGCATCATCAACATAAAGGCCAGGAACTACCTCCTGTCTCTGCCTCTGCGCTGCAAAGTGCCCTGGAACCGCCTCTTCCCCAACGCCGACCCCAAAGGTGAGCCTCTATCTGCTTTTAGAATCAGAATCAGAATCAGAATCAGGTTTACAGTAATCCCTCGTTTATCGCGGGGGTTACGTTCCGAAAATGACCCGCGATAAGTGAAATCCGCGAAATAGAAAACTTTTTTTTTTTACAATTAGCAACTATTA